GGATTTAGGGTTTAGGGTTCAAGGCGTCTCGGCTCGAGTTGGTTGTGGCCCCTGTTCTACCTTGTAGTTTGGGTTGCACTCCAATATACCAGACCCCAGCTTCTTCCGAGAAGCGTTGCTCGCCGTCTTCCTGGGAGGACGCGGCATCCCGCTTTTGGGACTTTACTTGGTCACTGCCGTTGAACTGGCTGACCTACCTGCACCTGCGTGGTCTTCTTTTTGGCAATTGGCTGGAGCCATTTGTTATCCATTTTGCCCTTTCACACCACCGCTGCCTTTCGATTGGCCGTCTGGTGTGGTGGGGCAAAGTCTGGGACTGTCTATCTTCGTGGCCTTGCTCACATTGGGAGTGAGCCTACTCTGGATCGGCTCTGCAGCTGACAACGACCAGATCTTCGTCACCTCCTACTGTCGTCTTTTCTGGGGCGTCTGGTCACTCTTGGGTTGCTCATCCTTCGGGCCCAGCGGGGAGCGGCGCTTTGGACGGGCACCCTTCTCGCTGCCCGATGGACTGAGTTCCTGCAGGCTTGGGTGCCCGGCCTTTCCGTGGTCTCCTCCCTACCATGGATCGGCTCCGGCGCCTTGCTGGCCTTGCACTCCAGTGTGCCGCCGGCTGTGCAAACTTTGTGTCGCTCCCGGGTTGAGCATGCTTACCTCTTTTGTCTGGCTGCTCCCCACTAGCATGTACAGTTCGTCTCGTGGTTTTGCTCGCGGGCTCGCCTGAGGCGTCCTGCTTCGCCCCTCCATGTCGGCCGTTGTGTTGTTGAGCACCTTCGTTTGCTCCTTCACCTCGGTTCTTGGTGGCGGCTCTTTCAACCTGGCCTTGTTTTGGGCCGGTCCTGTCTCACATTGCACGCTGGGCCTGTAAGTGCCTGCTTTTCCAGGAGTGTGCCTTCGCGCACTTTTCGCCGCTTTTTGCACAGGTCTCCGCGACCTATGGCATCGAAGTGAAGTGCAGTTTAGGGTTCAGGGTTTAGGGTTTAGGGTTTTAGGGTTTAGGGCTTAGGGTTTAGGGATGAGGTTGATTACACACATACACACACCTACATATAATACCATGAAAGATACATGGTGCCCAAAACATACTGGGGGGCACTTAAACATATCCATATATATATACACACATATATATGTATGTGTGTATATATATATATATGTGCTCGCCCCCCCCTCCCAAGATCTACGCCTGGCCCCTTTTTGTCTTACTTTTCGATCTTTCAACAACAGCATCTCTATCTCATGACAATAATCAAGAGAAGAAATTCACTATCATTGTGGGAGTGTGAAGGGAAAACGGAAAGCCCTTCACGTTTTCATCGAGTTGCGAGATGCTGCTGTGATCGACCCCTCTGCTGGTAATAAAAGCAAACTCCCGCATGCATTTACATCCTTCACTGAAACAAAACCTGCTGCACCGGTTCACGTGAAATAAAGAGGTACCTTGCCTATTTCTGGCAAACAGCGAGCCTTACGGAGTTGACCTATATCTTTTGGGAAGACGAGTGGAGATCCGATCAATTTGCTCGAACAACGGCAAAACAGGCTCCACACGCAAAACACAGCATCCAAGAGTTCTGCTGCATATCATTTGGTGACTTGTCTCACTCGCGATCAACTGCATAATGTAACCAGCTCCAACCCTTTGCCCTGCAGTGTTTGTGGGCTCAGCCAAGACACCAAACTCAGCACCGAATCCCCTCCCAAAACCAACATTTTTGAAGTCTTAGAGCTCTAAGGTGCTGTTCCGTCCCTGAACTGGGCCCTCCAGTGGCCAAATTTTAGGAACAGTATAGCACTTTAGAGTCCAGCGACTTCAATAATGTTGCACTGTCCCGAAATCATGGCCCTCCAGACACCAAATTTTAGGGACAGTGCAGTACTTAAGGCCCTTGGGACTTCAAAGGTGCTGTGCTGTCCCGAAATTCTACCCCTCCAGACGCCAAGTTTTGTGGACAGTATAGCACGTTAAAGCCCTGGGACCTCAAAGGTGCTGCACTGTCCCGAAATTTTGGGCCTTTTGTCGCCAAACATGTTCCCAAAAAAATGTACAAAGCCTGTCCTATAGAGACCTTCAGCTTGGAGGGCCCGGAGGTTGCTGGAGGATAGGTTTTCAGGTTCTTTAGGGACAGTACAGCATTGCTTGCTTGGGGATTTTTCCCAAATTTTTAGGGACAGTACAGCACCTAAGGGCGTTGGGACTTCAAAAGTGCTGCACTGTCCCTAAATTCTGCACGACCTACACATCGGTCGAATCATAGGCCTGCCCCGCTCACCAGGGCTCCGCAGCCAAGGTGTGGCTCAAAACTGTCCTTGCATGGCAGAAGTGGTCTCAGAGTGAGGGTGAAGGACGAGAGAGAGACACAGAGACTCAGATAAGAGAAAGGTAGAGAAAGCGAGCGAGAAAGAGAGAGAAAGGGAAGACAGAGAGCGAAGCGAGACAGACAGGGATGGAAAGAAGACAGGGAGTGAGAGGAGAGGAAGCGGGGACAATGACGATGGCGATGAAGCTACGATTACTACGATGGGGAAATGATGGCAAAGTGAATGCAAGTAGAGATCAAGAACTTCCTCATTCTGTCAATCGTGATAGCGAAGGTGACAAGGGTGATGCCTTTTGCACACGGAACTGACGATTCCCTTTCGGACTCTGATACTCGCTGCGAAGATTCTGAGGAATGCGAGGGATGAAGGCGTGCTGATGCTGATGGCTGATGATAATGACGTTGGTCATGATACCAACACAAGTGGTCATGATGATGATGATGATGCTGCTGATGATGTAGCGAACCAGATGAACAATCAGGATGAAGATAAGGATGATAAGTATGGGGATGTGGGATGTAAGATTGTGTCAGTGATGATAACGGCGGTGATGATGCAGCAGATCTCGCTCACGACATCCGGTTCAACGAAGCTGCCATTAGCTTTGCGATTACTGAGGTAGACTGAGCAACAAATGGAACATATTGAAGCAATATCAGCAAAAATCTTGCTAAAACGGCCAGCATCTGTCAGCCACTGGATGGATTTCTTCGAAATCTCCAATGGTGCAGTCGGCTAAGCAGAAGCGCGCTGCAGTGATCGGACGCATACAATCGTCAGAGTCCTCGATCGGTGGAATCCGTCAATAACAGACTTGCCCCAGTCCCGGGAGTTGAAAGCAATCTCCGGCCTAGCTTCCAGACAGCTCCCAACGGAACCCCTTCTAAAGTCCTCAATGTCGCATCGAGACGCAGTCTGCCAAACGAAATCCACGAGTAACCAATTTGCGGGCCTGAGTGCCGCGGCCCTCATAGTGTGGCCGCTCGGACCTCGCAGGAAGGAAACACATCACACCCAAGCTCGACGAGTCTATCTGGTGATGCTGCTGGTAGCAATACTCAGTCGTCGTAGCAGTACTAGTAGTAGAAGTGATGGCAGTACGTAGCAGCAGCAGCAGCAGCAGTAGTGCTACTAGTAGTAGTAGTAG